AGAGAGCCACTCAATCGTCCAAAGTGCCGCACAATGCGAGTGGTGAGCACGGGCGGTGGAGGGAGCTTCACGCGGCACCTGCTGGGCAATGCCGCGTCTCGTTTAGACGACCGACTGCGGATGGAACCCCGGGGCACGTGGCCCTCGCGGCGCCTCTGCCGTGCACCTCTCGACCGAGTCCCGCCCCAACATCTCTCTCGGCAGCGGCCTCCTCATCAGAGTCACCGCCGTCGAGGGCTGCGCCGTGGGGGCTCGACCAGACGCGGGCGCCTCCTGCCGCCGGCCGCCCGTCGACCGCGTGGCCGCGGGGCCCCAAGTTGCCCGAGAAGCGCCGGGTTCATGAAATAAAATGCCGACAAAACACCAACTCCCGAAGCGAGCCACGCCGTCACTTCCTTTCAGCAAGACGCGGCATGCTGAGTGGGATCAAACCTCCTCCGTGACAAACACTTAGGTGCGGAGGCTTTCATCCAGCAGTGGATTGACATATCGCCGTTACGTTGTGACCATCACGGGGTTAACAAGACGGCTTCGCCCACGCGCGCGTCTGTCAGCCAGCGACACACTTCTAAACTATACGCGCTATAAATTTGCACGAAGCTAAAATAGCACCTACATGCACAGCCTTTCACACCACTTAATACTGATGTATTATTATTATTCACAGCTCAAATAATACCTATATATATCGCTTTGCTTGATGTGTTTTGCACTGAAATAGTTTGCGCATGTTCCTCCCGACTGTTTCGCCGGACTTCGCCACGAACCATCGCGGCAAAGCGCGGCGATGTAATGCGCCAGAGGAGTGGCATGTACATTATCATCATCACGATATCACGACGACGTCATTTGTATTCATTCCGGGTCTCCACTGCAAAATAAACACAATACCTCGCTGACCTCGTCAAGGAGCTTAAACCACCATCACGCAAACACCGATCGCCCTCACAGCGGCGGCTTTTGGCTGATGGCCATCGAACAAAGGCGGCCACTGCGTCACGCGCTTTCAGATGCGCTGCTGTGTCCGTCTGGAACGCTCTTCCTTCTGATATTAGGAAGCAATTGGAGCTATGCACTTTTACATCATCTAGATTGAAAACTCATTTCTTTAAAACTGCTTTTCGTGGTTAATTTAATGTCCCTCCCCCGCACCTCCAATTCGCACGGTTGGCTGCGTACGGAGCGAAATAAGATCAACACACATGGGATCTCGCTGGCATAAATACAGTGGCTTACGAACTACACTTACCATTCTTGACGCCTCTGATAAACAAACGATGGCCAAGTAAAGTAGCTTAGTAGCAGCCAAGGAGTGGAATACGTCCAAGTTCGTGTCCACCGACGACACGGATCAATCAATCGGCTCGTGTGTGGGTGCGAGGTGGAGTAATACTCCAGGCCGGGGAGCGGTGGTGTAGCGGTTAGAGCGGTGGTGTACCGGTTAGAGCGGTGGGGTAGCGGTTAGCGCGGTGGTGTAGCGGTTAGAGCGGTGGTGTAGCGGCTAGAGCGGTGGTGTAGCGGTTAGAGCGGTGGTGTAGCGGTTAGCGCGGTGGGGTAGCGGTTAGAGCGGTGGTGTAGCGGTTAGAGCGGTGGTGTAGCGGTTAGAGCGGTGGGGTAGCGGTTAGCGCGGTGGTGTAGCGGTTAGAGCGGTGGTGTAGCGGCTAGAGCGGTGGTGTAGCGGTTAGAGCGGTGGTGTAGCGGTTAGAGCGGTGGTGTAGCGGTTAGAGCGGTGGTGTAGCGGTTAGAGCGGTGGTGTAGCGGTTAGAGCGGTGGGGTAGCGGTTAGCGCGGTGGTGTAGCGGTTAGAGCGGTGGTGTAGCGGCTAGAGCGGTGGTGTAGCGGTTAGAGCGGTGGTGTAGCGGTTAGAGCGGTGGTGTAGCGGTTAGAGCGGTGATGTAGCGGTTAGAGCGGTGGTGTAGCGGTTAGCGCGGTGGTGTAGCGGTTAGAGCGGTGGTGTAGCGGTTAGAGCGGTGGTGTAGCGGTTAGCGCGGTGGTGTAGCGGTTAGAGCGGTGGTGTAGCGGTTAGCGCGGTGATGTAGCGGTTAGAGCGGTGGTGTAGCGGTTAGCGCGGTGGTGTAGCGGTTAGAGCGGTGGTGTAGCGGCTAGAGCGGTGGTGTAGCGGTTAGAGCGGTGGTGTAGCGGTTAGTGCGCTACGCTGCGAAACCGGCGAGCCGGGTTCGATTCCCGCTCACGGCCAACACCAGTGACAATTATTTGAATGGGACATGGGCCTCCCCTAGGTCGACTCAGCCTCAAATTAGTATCTGGTGTGGTGTGTTAACATCACCAGTGGGGAGACAAATGCGACCGGTCGTGGTGTTGACCACCCACCCTCTCGTGTGCCGTTTCGGCCTTCATAGGCGCTCGCTAATAGCACTTGCCCCAACAGTCTGTTTAGGCTGTACGGGGGATCTGTGTCTGTCTTATTGCTAGAGGATCATGAGAGATGGCTACTGATGATGGTAACCCAGACAAACATCATTATAACTCCATTCCAAGGACTAACTCACTCTCACCAACACCGCAAGTGACGTGCCAAGATCGGTGCTTTTCGAGGCTACGTGAAGTGTGGACGCCTCTTGCTGCTGACAGATCACGGCACAGACGCAGGTGGGATGGGTTATAGCTGACAGATGCACAAACTTTGCTTCCCACTGTGCTCCCTCTATCCACAGCGCGTCGATTTGTAGCGTTTATTTTCATTTGTTTGCTGGTGACTGTATTTCATATTGAAATCGCCTCCAGTGCTTTTGCTGCTGTCGGCAATAAAAGTTGCTTAAAAGTCAAAGTCTCTTACCAAGACCTCTGGGCAAGTGGAGTGACCAAGCACCCTGATGGGGGTGGTGTGGCAAGATGCATGCCCGATCGCCTTCGTTTCACCAGTTGTGATGTCTGCACGTCGCACGAGGTTGTCATGTCGGGCGTAGTCGACCAAGGGGAGGACCAGGATCGTAGCGCTTTGCGCTCACCGGGACGACATACCTCTGACCACCACTCAATCACTCAAAGACAAAGGTCCCCCGTAATTCTTAACAGACGTTGAAGCAAGTGCTGTTAGCGAAGTCGCATGAAGGCCGGCACGGCACACGAGGGGTGGGTGATCAGCGCCATGCCCGGCCACCTTTGTCTCTCGTGTGGCGATGTTTATACATCGCACATGGTGCTCAGTTTCGAGGGGGCCCAGAACTGGTTGTGAGTGGAAATCGAACTCGGGTCGACAGGTTCGCAGCGCGCTAACTGCTCGACTACCGCTCCGCACTCCCAGCCACTCAACCCACTCAGCCCACCCAGCCACTCACCCACACACTCACCCAGCCACTCACCCACACACTCACCCAGCCACTCACCCACTCAGCCACCCAGCCACTCAACCCACTCAGCCACCCAGCCACTCACCCACACACTCACCCAGCCACTCACCCAGCCACTCACCCACACACTCACCCAGCCACTCACCCACTCAGCCACCCAGCCACTCACCCACACACTCACCCAGCCACTCACCCACACACTCACCCAGCCACTCACCCACTCAGCCACCCAGCCACTCAACCACACACTCACCCAGCCACTCACCCACACACTCACCCAGCCACTCACCCACACACTCACCCAGCCACTCACCCACACACTCACCCAGCCACTCACCCACTCAGCCACCCAGCCACTGACCCACACACTCACCCAGCCACTCACCCACACACTCACCCAGCCACTCAACCCACTCAACCACCCAGTCACTCACCCACACACTCACCCAGCCACTCACCCACACACTCACCCAGCCACTCACCCACTCAGCCACCCAGCCACTCAACCCACTCAACCACCCAGCCACTCACCCACACACTCACCCAGCCACTCACCCAGCCACTCAACCACTCAGCCACCCAGCCACTCACCCACACACTCACCCAGCCACTCACCCACACACTCACCCAGCCACTCACCCACTCAGCCACCCAGCCACTCAACCCACTCAACCAGCCAGCCACTCACCCACACACTCACCCAGCCACTCACCCAGTCACTCAACCACTCAGCCACCCAGCCACTCACCCACACACTCACCCAGCCACTCACCCACACACTCACCCACTCTCTCACACGCACCTTGTCCTGTGCCATCGCACTCCATGTACTCGACAGTACAATCCACAGAGGGTCTCTTTTGCTGTGCGGCTCAGTCCGCTGCGCGTGGAACAACAGCAGCAGTGGCCATCGAGCGGTGCAACTTCTAGAGGGAAGCGAGGCGGGCTCCACCGCGTGAACAACAACAACAGCCGCGTGAACAACAACAACAGCCGCATGAACAACAACAGCCACGTGGCCGCGGTGCACCTCCATTTGTCACGGTTGGCTGCGTGCGGTGCGAAAGAAATTGAACATGCATACATGCACATGCGAACATTAGAAAAACGCATCCAGCGATCGCACTGCATAAGAAGGAAACATAATTGGCAACGTTCCGGGCAATGGGTCTTTTTCACAGCACACATTAAGCAACATTTGTGGTCGTGCTATAGCATGGGCAGTAATGCATGAGGACAAACGAGAGACTCAACGCGTTTGTCAACTAAACTGCCCCAGAGGGGACATCGAACAAGACGCGACGTTTCAGGCAACGGCCTTCCGTCACCACGTTATTATCTCTCTGGTGTGAAGAAGGGCCATAGCCCGAAACGTCGCCTACGCATGCCTTGTATGGGCCGTGGTGTTGATGAATGCGCTGTGCTCTTCATGTTTGTGTTTGCCGAGTTCGTGCGATCACGTCGCTGGGAGCGTGCCCTGCGCACGCCCTGGGGGCTGCGTCACTCTCAGCGCGTGCCACTTGAAGCTGCTGCTGCTGGGGGGGGGGGGGCGCGCTCTCGGTCTTCCCTCCCCATCAGCCCCCTCCTCCCCTCCCTCCCGCCCCTGTCTTCTCCTCCCATCCCTGCCCCCCGATCCGCCACTGGGCACGAATCATCCACCACCACCACCCTCCTCCTCCCATGCTGGGCTCCTCGGTTGCTGCGGGATAAGAGCGCGAGGGACGAGAGGCGCCGCTGCAGTGCAGGCGGCAGCATCACGCGGTGCTGGTGCTGCTGCTGGTGGTGGTGCTGGTGGTGGTGCTGGTGGTGGTGCTGCTGGTGGTGCTGCTGGTGGTGCTGGTGGTGCTGCAGAAGGATGAGGAGTGCTCTCACGTAGACCTCGCGCAAAGACAGCAGCAGCAGCACAGCACCAACAACGCTCTCTCATTTGCAAGCATCTTCATATCTACACGCTCAGGTCGGTACGTGTGTGTGTTTGCAGTATGTTTACTGAGTCAATGTTTGCACGTCTGTTGATGTGCATGTTGTGTTGATGTGGATGTTGTGTTGATGTGCATGTTGTGTTGATGTGCATGTTGTGTTGATGTGCATGTTGTGTGTGATGGGGAACGGCAGTGTGGTGGTTCCCGCGCCACGCCACGAACCGGGTTCGATACCCACTCACAGCCAACACCAGCGACGATTATCTGAACCGATCCTGGGCTGCCCCTAGGTCGACTGAGCCTCAAATGAGTACCTTGTGCGGTATGTAAACATCGCCACTAGGGAGACAAAGGTGGTCGGGCGTGGTGCTGTGCCGTACCGGCCTTCATAGGTCCTCGCTAACAGCACTTGCCCCAAGTGCGTTAAGACTAGACGGGGGATCTTTGTCTTGTTTAGACTCGTGTGGGCACGCGTCGTGCTGAGCGCACTGCGCTACGAACGAAGCAGCCCGAGTTCGATTCGCCAGAGTGGAGCGCGACATCTCAACCGGTCCCGGGTCTCCCCTCGATACTCGGCCTGAAACGAGCGCCTCCCTGTGCATATCAGCAGCGGGGAGACAAACGCGGCGTGGTGCAGTGCACGCGTCACCTGCCCGTGCAGCGCGCCCTTAATAGGTGCTCACTAACAACAGCGTGGAGGGCGTTCAGGCTGGACGGACGATATTTGACGATGTTGTATCGTAACCACACATCACGTACCCATCAAAACGACGGCTGCGGCGATACAGAGCGCGGCAGGAGAGGCCGCATGCCAACAACGATCTCGAGGTGAATGTTGTGGAGGATGAGGAGCGGGCACAGACGACGCACAACACTGCGCCCAGACAGACCGGAGCGTGCCGAGGCTGCCGCTGCTGCTGCTGCTGTTCAGATCGCCGCTTTTGGCGCTGGTGGTGTCTCCAGTGAACGCCAGCGAGAGCTGCCAGCCGCATTCACGAAGCCACTCGCGTTATCTTCGTGTGAACGGGGATTCATTTCTCTCTCGATATTGTTTTCCGGAATGCTGCTCGGCTGGCTTGGTGTATGGAATTATCGGTTGGCAAGGCACTACCACTAGAATACAGAGTGTGTCTAGCCACAATAATCGTGTATTACCTGCATGCTATATCACTACAATCCCTTGAGGACAAACCGAGTATCAAATCAAGCGCAGTCTCCAACCTCGATCCCTGCTGTCTGTGTACTATGAAGAAGGACCATTGCCCAGATCGACGCCGATCACACGATGGACACATTTTATTAATTTAAAACCACTGAGTCTTTCTTGACGAATGAGACTCTCGTGAAGTGTTCAATAGCTCCCGGAACAGCGTTCCAGACTGTGTCCGATCGAGATGAAGAGCTGCGTATGTGTGTCAGTGAGTGAGTGTGTGAGTGTCTGTGAGTGGGTGTGTGGGTGAGTGAGTGTGAGTGAGTGAGTGTCTGCGAGTGTGTGTGAGTGTGCGTGAGTGAGTGAGAGTGTGTGTGTGAGAGTGAGTGTGCGTGTGTGAGTGCGTGAGTGAGTGCGTGTGTGTCTGTGAGTGTGCGTGAGTGAGTGTGTGAGTGCGTGTGTGAGTGTCTGTGAGTGTGTGTGTGAGTATCTGTGAGTGTGTGTGTGAGTGTGCGTGAGTGAGTGAGAGTGTGTGTGTGAGAGTGAGTGTGCGTGCGTGAGTGTGTGTGCGTGAGTGAGTGCGTGTGTGTCTGTGAGTGTGCGTGAATGAGTGTTCGTGAGTGAGTGTGTGAGTGCGTGTCTGTGTGAGTGTGCGTGTGAGTGAGTGTGCGTGCGTGTGTGTGAGTGTACGTGTGATTGCGCGTGTGAGTGTGCGTGTGAGTGAGTGTCTGTGAGTGTGCGTGTGTGAGTGTGTGTGAGTGTGTGCGTGAGTGAGTGTCTGTGAATGTGAGTGCGCGTCAGTGAGTGCGTGTGAGTGTGTGAGTGCGCGTCAGTGAGTGCGCGTGCGTGTGTGTGCATGTGAGTGCGTGTGTGAGTGTGTGAGAGTGAGTGAGTGCGTGTGTGAGTGAGTGCGTGTGTGAGTGTGTGTGAGAGTGAGTGAGTGCGTGAGTGTGTGAGTGCGTGTGTGAGTGTGTGTGAGAGTGAGTGAGTGTGTGTGAGAGTGAGTGAGTGCGTGTGTGAGTGAGTGCGTGTGTGTGAGTGTGCGTGTGAGTGTGCGTGAGTGTGTGTGCGTGAGCGCGTGAGTGTCCGCTCCTTTATCATTACTGGTGCTGTGCTCCTGCTGTGTTTTTAAAACGCCCGTGCTGTGTGCGTCTGGTTGCGTGCTGTCGAGCAGCCTCTGTAGGGGTCATAGACCGTGAAGAAAGCCGGCGACACCAGAGGCGAGGGACATACCCCGAGGAGCTGGGGACAGACAACAAAACGAACAAAAGCCAACACAGCAGCCATCCTGCCCAAGGGCGGTGGGGGAGGGGAAGACACACACGTAATTAGCACAAATCAGCGGCTGCTTTCAATCCTCTCTCACTCCGGGACTGATGGGAGGGACCTTGCAGGGGGAGTAGACCCTCGCGCTGAGATGGATCAATAAGATGTGAGGACGTTCCTCCGACAACACATCGCACGGGCCCATGTCCTTCACGAGCCACGAGCTGCGGCCGGCGTTGGCCCTGGGTGCAGGTCCACCAACTCCGCCGCGCGTCGTCCTTGAGAGGTCTTCTTCTCCTGCTGCTGCTGCCCCATGCGGGCGCGTGGCTCGGGGTGGAGGAGGGCCGCCGTCTCGACACTGAAAGTGGCCTCACCATGGTGTGTCTGGAGACGGCGATGGCCAGCGGAGCGATGGTGTGCAAACCCGACTGCTGCATCAAAGGTGAGAGAGAGCGAGAGGGAGAGAGCTCATTCACTCGATTGGGACCTACAGAACGGAGTCGTCGTAGCCGGCGGACCACTTGGCAAGACGCTCCTGAAACGAGTCCAGGAGACGAGGTGAGGCTTTGCTGGGTTACCGAGCGTGAGGACGAACACGAGAGAGAGAGAGCGAGAGGACGGAGCGAGTCTCTGTGTCCGAGCCCACGACTGGCCGGGTGAGATGGATGTGGGTCTCTACGGTGGGTTCTCGGGGTATTCCGCGGCGACTTTTGTTGTGAACGATTGGGCGGCTGCAGTTCGCCGTGGATGTCTCGAGTCGAGACGAGTCTTTGGAGAAATGTAATTATATATATATATATATACGTGCCTAGTCAATACGCAATAAGTTATTGTTATAGAATCAGGGCTTACATGTTCATCTTCATACATTTTTCCGGCCCCTCCCCTCAACTAAACCCACAACCCCTGGGACTGAAATATTTTCCGGAACTCAGCCCCGGAAAACTCTGGCTGAAATTAAGCCGATTCTGTCATTTACAATAACAACGGCCGGTTTTTATTTTACGTATCAATGAATTCCCAACCGGACCTTCTCAATAATCTTCATCAGAGGGGTTCTGCATTGGAATAGATAGCCAATAGATAGCCAATAGCCAATAGAGAGCCAATCAAACAAGTGCACCTTGTCTCTGCATTGATTGCGATGTTTGGCCAGTTGATGTAACAAGTGGTGTGGCACGTGTGGGGGAAGCGCGGAGAGAACCCACCACTATGCACACAGCAGGTGCGTAACAAACAAGTGCTGCACAGATGGATTCATGACACTCGCTCTACTGTCATCTCCTGGCCACCTCGCAGCGCACAAACCTTGACGTGGTCCACCAACCCTTACATCCAGAGCATAGCGCGGTGCTACTCTCTACTGGTAGAGTCAATGTTGACCACTCCACGTTACCCTGGTGCGAGCCAGTTTATCCACAGGACAAGGGGTTGGTAGATGTATACAGTATACATATACAGTACACATGCCTGTACAATATATCGGTGTCAAGCTTCTGCTGCAGAAATGAGTATTTACATTCGCGGTTTTATTTTATTCAAATGATATGCATGTGTGTTGAACTTCATGCGCACCGTACGTAGCCAACCGTGCTCTGATAATGAAGTTAAACATTGACAGAGGTTACAACTATTAACTTTACGCCCTCTAGTGTAGATATCTGCCAGTCTGAAATTTTAAATGATCATATAATCTTGTTTCTTTCGGTAAAGTCACGTAGATAGAAAACAAAAAATAAAAATAAAAGACAAAAATAATGAAATAAAAATAATGCAAAATTAAAAGAATAAGTTGAAACTAATAAAGCAAAAAAATAGTTCAATAAAACATTTTTTTTACTATTTTTATTGTGGTTTTTTGCTTTTATAATTTTCACTTTTATTTTTATTCTTTTTTATTATTTTAAATTTAAATTAAATTATTTGTATCTTTAATTTTTATTTGTTATATTCTTGGTTCTTTTGGTAAAGTCACGTAGATAAAAACAAATTCAGAGCAAAAAAACCCATGATCGAAACGTTGGGGGTTTTTCGCTCTTTTTAAAATGTTATTATTAATAGGTTTTCCCCTTTTTTACTGGCAACAAAACTGAAACCTTTTTACAAGGAATCATGTCTGCATTAACAACAATACTTGTGGTCAAAATGCAAACAAAAAACATACTCTGATAATAAATGCATTGTCTTTTAAACGGATTGGTCCACACTAGAGACAGCTTTCTTTTGAGCCTCGTCTCAATCGGCGTTAGACCAGAGGACGCCAAAAGGCGAACAGCACAAAGACAATACACTCTCAGAGTAATGCGAGCTCGGGTGATCATCTACATCATGGGACCTCCTTTGCCAGTACCAAAATGTAAAAATAGATTTCGCCCCTTTTTTTCTGGCAACAAAACTGAAAAAAGGGGAAAACCTATTCTTATATTTTGGTACTGGCAAAGGATGTCCCATGATGTTTATTATTATCATTATTTTATTTTCTATCTACGTGACTTTACCGAAAGAACCAAGAATATTAATTTCTGCAGTCACAAAAGTTTTAAGTCAAAAATGTAAATGATCTTATAAACGGCTTACTTTTCACTAAAGCTTGATTTTACTAGCTCGGAGTCAGCGTTTTGTTAATTTACCTATTGTATGTATCTATAGGGCGCCACGGTGGCGAGATGTTAACAACTTCGCTTGGTATACAGGAGATCGTGGGTTCGTGAGTTTGCGTGTCTCTCTCCTCGTGGTCACGTGGATTTTTCTCCAGGTCCTCCGTTTTTTCTCTCCACATTCAGAAACACGAGTATTTGGCTGCTATACATTTCCACATGATAAGCCACTTCATTGGGCTATCATTTGTGGCCAGGTCACTTGTGAACAAGTGCTATATAGCTCAGTGCGCCTTACCTGGTAAAATAAAAAGTAGTACATTTGTTTTACGTTGGTATGTTCAGCCCAGAAGATTAACAGAACAAATGTAGCAGTCTTTTGAAATACGTGGTCAACCAGGTTAGTGTCTGTGTTGTTGGTCGACTGGTTTGCATCGCATTGTGTTTCTAAGGTTTGTTGAGTTGTCGTCTCCTATTTTCTTGCTGTATTTGCCTCCATGCAGTTTGCCGTTCTCTGTGTGCTATGCACGTGCTGTCTCCCTGTGTGTTCCCTCGCTTTGTGTTTTACCCCAATTCCACCTGATCATCAACACTTGTGTTGCGTTCGAAACGTCGTGAATTATTTTAACTTTATATATTTAAATAGTATTTTATTTCTACACACGTGACTTTACCGAAAAAAACAATGAGTATAATTTCTGCAGTCATGAAAGCTTCAATTCTAGTACATTTGTGTACTGTATATCAACGTGTGAATGCATCTGTGCAGAGCTTTGTGTGTGCATGGTGGGGTTTCCTCCCCCTAATGAAGTGAAACATGAATGGAATTGGCAAGCCCTGATAATGCAGGACCCTCCTGAAAAAACCTACATACTCCGTGAGGAATTTCAGGGTAAATCAGGGGGCAGCATTATTGTATTGTAGGCTGTGCGATTGGTGATCAACTAAAAAAAGTTATTTTATTTAAAATGTACCATTACTGTTAATATTTTTGCTGTTTTCCAATTATAAATTCGGCTGACTAGTTGGAAAAAGCCAGCACAATTAAGTGGAAATCAATCAAATAACATTGACTCTTCAATGATCTTGCTGGGACATTATGGCTCCATCCCATGCTTTAGGTACATCCACTCTTAAGTTTGTTTCCAGCTCACTATCCAGACCACGCGTGTGATCCCAAAGAAGAAGACTATACTCGCTGTTGAAATGTAATGATGGTTATTGATGACATCGGTAACGCCTGTTGGCATCAGCATCGCATAGCCCAATATACAATCGAGGATGGATGGACTGCATAATTGGAATGGATTCCCATTTATCAGGTATGAGATGTGTTTTGCCCAAAGTCTGTCAAATTTTGTTTTCACGTTTGACCTCTAAGCAACATTGAAAAAAACGACAATACTGTATTTATAACTGTGAGTTCAAATCCTGGTTGGGTGTTGACTCAGCCCATCATCCCTCTGGGGTCGACAAAATACATACCACTTTACGGAGAAGTCCAACAGTGAGCGTCACATGGATAGACTCTCTCCTGCCGTCGGAATGTGGAATTCCGACCGATGGCTCGGGCCTGTTCACACTTGAGCACAGCCTGAGTACCAATTTCAGCAGGGGGCATCACTTTGACTTTGAGTAGTCGCAACTCTTTATTAACATCAGTGTTGGTATATTGGTGTGTTTGTTGGCACCTGCAGTATATGCAGTACTGTGTCATGTGTGCAATGATTTACTCACGTGGCAACGAATCTTAACGACATCCGGATGATGGAACGTTTGTCATTATGAGTGTAACCCTGCGCAGTCTTGGCCATGTCGATATGGGGATAGAACGCGCTGGTTCTAGAAGCGATTGCCTGTCTGTGCAAGAACCTTTAAAATGCCACATTGCGAAAACTCTCAATGTTGGTCATTATGTGATGCTCCTAAACGCATGCCAGCCCCTTTATCATTGTCAGTCGTTGTCTCTTTAGCTTTTGCCATTTGTATAAACACATATATTGATACTTTGATGTACAGTTTATCAAATGCACATTCTAAGCATGCAATGTTCTACGTTATGTTTAATATTGAAGGCGATAAAGTGCCACGATAAACTAAATGGATACATTCTAAAAATAATGTAAAAATATGCATTCAGTATAAAGCATTTGCTTACAATGTTGACTTAAAACTTTCGTGACTGGAGGAATTCATATTCTTTGGTTCTTTCGGTAAAGTCGCGTAGCTAGAAATTAAATAAATAAACTCACGACGTTTCGATCGCAAGACGAGCGGTCGTCATCAGGCGACCGCCGGATGACGACCGCTCGTGTTTTTGTGTCTACGTGACTTTACCAAAATAATATATCTGCTTAAAAGTTAAACTGCAGATTTTGTCTTAAATTGTCTGATTCTGATATTTTATTGACAATGAGTGTATGGAAACATTCTGCCGGGGACTAATGTTGCTGCCTATGATGCATTAATTTTACACGAAATAGAATTACCAGGGAAACAAAATGTCATGCTGGGGGCATTTTTGTGCTAAATGTTTTTTTTTTGTGGCCAAAGTTAAAGTGCCTAATTGAAATCGCACAAAAACCCAAACACATGACATCAAGTAAAGCATTTAATTAAGTAAGCTTTTAGCTTGGACTTTATTTTAACAAAAAATTTACTCACTGGTCCTTTTTGCATTAATGAAATTCATAGCAGTGAAAGCACTTATTAAGGACAGCCCAGACAGGAGGCAGCAGATTAAAAATTCTGGGCTCAAACATCGTTTAAACAATCAACTGCAGATTAAATACTAAAACTATTAAACTATGTTCTATTTTACCAGGTAAGGCCCACTGAGCTGTATAGCTATTTTTGAGAATCAAACTGGCCACAAATGATAGCTCAACGAAGTGGATCATCACGTGGACATTTATAGCAGCCAAATACTCTAAACGCACGTTGATTCTAACGCGTGTCTGTCTCCCCGTGGTCGCGTGAATGAAAATCCACGTGACCACGGGGAGAGAGACACGCAAACTTCAAATATACAGCAGGCGTCAGGGTTGGGATCGAAGCCACGACCTCCTGTAGATCAAGCGAGGTAGTTGACAACTCTGGTAACGTCATCAGCAAGCCGTTGTGAAATCCCTGGAGTTTAACTTTTGGTGGCGCCTCATGAAGACTGTCAAGGAACGGAACGTATAACACAGAGATGGAGCGATTAATTCGGCTCGCGTGGAGTTGAATAATATCGCAGCATTTCGGCAGATGGTGGCTGCTTGGGGAGGCCTTTATCCAGCAGTGGATTGACCCCATGGCTGATGATGATGGTGACTCTGCAATCTGCTGCGACACTTTGCAACGCGAACATTTACAACTTCTCTTTGTTGGCAACGTGGCTCCTTGTGTGGCATCGAGCAAGGGAAACATCGCTTGACCTGCATCACCAATGGATTTCGCTCTACGTATAACCTCATGTAGCTGCAATTCGGAGCAGGCTTAAACTTCAAAGGTCATTTGTGAAGGAGCTTAACGATCTATAAGTGCTGTCATCCTTCTGCTGAGCATATTATTTATTTAAGAGGTGACGGTAATAGAACTTGGCAGAAAATGACAGGCTGATGCCAGCATTGTGTGTGTGCAGAAAATAGGTCCTGCTGTTGCACACGCATTTTAAGCTGGCGATTGTCAAGTGTTTTAATTCAAAGAAGCACGTGGCCTTTCTCGTGCGCACATTGGCTCGATCCGCCTTCAGGAATGACGGCAGGAAGCATAAAGGAAGGCACTGATCAGAGCCACTGTAACCTCGAGAATGCTTCCACAATGCACGCTAGTCAGATCACGACAATTGTCCCATTGAGTCTGCACACACTGCCTCTGTGGCTGTCATGTCACGCAAAGTTGCGTTAATTCCCTCCATTAAATATTTTCTCACTTCCATTTTCTTATCCCCCCCCCCTCCTAAAGTTACATGACAAGACCCTAGATATACTTTTACATTACATCTGTGAGCTAAAGGTTCCCGATCAGATATATATTTATATTTCAATCACAGAGATGCTAAGAAACAGCTAAAGATGAATGTGATATTCAACGTAAATGAAACGTTGCCGTAATGCAATGGTCAGCACACTGGACTTGCAATCCACCGCTCATCGGTTCCATTCCTTCTGCTGATGTGGCAGCGCAACACCGCGGTGCAAGTTGCTTGGAAGCCGCCGCGTCTGTCCACCCAGCAGCGTGAAGCGGTTCGCCACGGTGGAGTCAGCCGGCAGGTCGCGTGTGATGGGGTCAAGTGGGAGGAGTCCCAGCTCTCACAGAATGTCGGGTCTGTGTGGGAGAGTGAGCCGAGGGAGGAGGGGCTCTCTCGAGCTCCCTCTAGTAGAGCTCCTTCTGACGCGGTGGCGCGAGCAATCGTGCGCGTGGCAGCCCCTCTGCCTTCCGCTGTTCACGTACAACTACGACGGCTCTCAAAGTGCTTGATAAAGAAGCGTGCGACTTACACGATACGGGGAAAAGAGGGTACAGACGATAAGAGAATAGTGGGACTGGAGCAACAGGCACAAAAACTACTTGGTCACCAGACAAAACTTTCGTTAATGAATTAATCGACATCCTGTAGATGTAGCCATTTGTAGAGCTCTCCAGTGCCACTATCAAAAGTTAAATTGCATCCTCACTCGAACGACGAATAGGACAGTGCTCCTCTCTGTTGATGGCACTAGGCCAGTGGTGGAAACTCCACGTTACCATGGTGAAAAGCAAGCAAATCATATTGTAATAACAAATTGCCATCGCACCAATACATTACTTTCATAAAAAAACGTAAACATGCGGGTGATCCTTTTCCATTGTTACTCCCACGTATTAATGCTTTGAAATTTACATTTCCCTGTGTGTTGTTCGCCAGTTTGGCGTCCTCTGGTCTCGCGCTGGTGCTGAGACAAGTCCATAAAGGAGGCTGTCGCTGGTGTAGGCCAATCGGTGTAAAGGACAATGCACACATTAATTATTATTAGAGCATGTTTGTTTGCATGCTTTCCCACAAGCATGTGTGGTTAATGCAGATTTTATGCCTTGCAATAGGTGTGTCTATTTGGTGTTTAAAATATAACACCTCCTGTGTTATGCCGGAAAGGGTAAAGGCTGTTCTTTCTTCATCATCTTGACTGTGTTCTCTAAGTCATAGCACAATTGCATTGTGTCGCTTCAACCCAGTGATGTTGGGATAGTGATTTTTCCATGATATCTGATAACTATAACCCAGTGATGTTGGGATAGTGGTCTTTCCATGATATCTGATAACTATAACCAAGGTTGATTAGGCAATGAGTGGGGCAGTGTTCACGGGAAGACTAAATCGTGATACAAATTAGACGCAGATTATTTTAAATGCTGCCGGGTATATGCCAAGTTGTAACTGAATTTGCAGAAAAACCTCAGCGCAATCAATAGAGGTAATTGAATGATGGATAGTTCTTTATGCAGTTCACATTACATGTATTGATTGTGCCTGACAGGAAACAATCAACAATTAAAAAGCCTAGAAAAGATTCTTCTTTCTTGAGGTTAATTTAAATTTGCACTTTTCTCTCAACGTTATTTCCGAATGTCCTGTTGTCATGATGCCATAAGATGAAAAATCCATTCGAATCTCTTGCAGAGCAGCCCTTCATGTTAGATCGCAGTCCACGGAAGTGGATATTACAGAGCTACCTCTGAGATTTCTTCAAGTGACCCCTGGGCCACACGCAGTAGGGGGCAGCACCCTGCCACGGAGAATAATGTTTGTATGTCTGTTGTATGTCTGTTGTACGTATGTTATATGTATATATGTATGTTGAATTTCCTTTGCACCATATGTAGCCAACCGTGCTAATTGGAGGTGCGGGGGAAGGACAACAAACTAAACGCAAAAAGCAGTTCTCAGGAAATTCGTTTTCAATCTCGATTTAAAAGTGCATAGCTCCAGTTGCTTCGTAATATCGGAAAGAGGAGCATTCCAGACGGCCGCTGAAGCGCATCTGAAAGAATTTGCTGCATGACAGTTAAATCGATATTATTTATTCTCTCCAATTTTGCCAATTGTAAGTACGAAGACAAAGTTAATGCGACTGTTTTTGTGCAGTCATTCGTGGTTGGGCTAAGACCACTAACCCAGTTTAATCACTGCCTCGATTTTTAACCAAGAGTCTCAGTGGTGCCATCTCAGCCATCGTGTCTCCAGGCCAACCAGTGATCAGTTCGATCAAAAGTAGAAACAGTGGAGTTCAGAAGTCGCAGAATAGACGGTAACACCGAAGAGGTGGGAGTAACGCACACAGAGGGCTGACATGGTTCATCACAAACACTGCCCTACCTTCTAGATTTGAAGCTTTCGTGACTGCAAGGATATAAGAATATACTGCCCTACCTTTTCAATTCGTGCTCATATGAATGTACTTCTTTTGCCAGAATATTCTTTAAATCCTAATACATATTATCTTGGCATTTTATTATTTAAACTGTCTGCTTAATTTCAGTGCTCCGACTCAAGGATTGTGAGATGAGCGGCAATGACAGCTGTCTCTTATTTTTTGTTGCCGAGCAACGGGCTCTCTCGTAGCAAGGATAAAAGTGGTATTTATAAAAGTGAGGAAAGCCTCTCCGAGTCTCAACACTATTTCAGGACGGTCCTGCACGTTGCTATATGACCTCTCCTCCATCAGCGAGTTGGTGGCATGTGGGAGAAAACTGTTGTGCTTCCCCATACCTCCGATGAGCACAGTTGGGTTACATACAGTGCCAAAGAACATAAATACGCAGAAACAAAATCCCAAAGTATGAGCGTAAGGCGCCTCACAGATCAAATACGCTTCCTGTACCATCACCTCTTGGCATCCTCGCAGTCCGGCGGGTTTGGGAGTTTCACAATTTCGTTTGATTCACCAATCCGTTCCTCGAAAGCGGTGGATCACAGGTGCGTGCGGTGACAAGTGCCCAGGGCGGGATGAAACCGAAGTGCCGGGAGATGAGTAGCACTCAACAACTTCTGTCCGCCGCAGCGCTCCGATCTGTTTCTGATTTGTGCCACGTGCCGTTCGGCAACTGATGTCCGACGTTTCGCTCCGCATGGCGAGAGCCGAGGAAGTTCCGCAGACGCCACGCGAAACGCGGTAACGATCGCGACGTCGAACGACACGCGGGAACAACCCAAAAAACAAACCGGTCGCCCGCACCGCAAGCGCCTCCGTTTCCCGGCCACCTCGCAGCCACGACCCCAACGCCGTTCCGCTCCCCCCCCCCCCCCTCCCGCGTGTGTCCGCGCAGTTGAGACGCCACAGCGGGGCCAGCCCAAGCGGCGGCTGGGCGTGGCCTCCAAGGTGCGAGTGATGGGTGTGGCGGCGGCCGCGGCGGCCGCGACCACGACGGAGGAGCAGGAGATGGGGGCGCGGCGCAGGATGAAGTGGAAGACGCTGCTGGGCATCTTCGTGCTGGTGCTGGGCTACCTGGTGCTGGGCGGCGCTGTGTTCCGGGCCCTGGAGCAGGGCAACGAGAGCGCCCAGCGGGACGCCATCACCAGCGCACAAGGCGACCTTCCTGGTGCGCCACCCGTGCGTGCCGCCCGACGAGCTGGAGAAGCTCATACAGGTGAACGAGACTCGGCGGGCTCGGCTCAGGCTCGGGGGTCGCCGGCGTAAATGCGACGTCGACCCCGAGTTGCGTTCGCGGTTCGTGTGACAATTTCGGTTCGTTGCGATGGGGTTGGCGGAGGGGCGATGCACGGTGGCGGGTGTGGTGATACAGAACCTCTCGTTCAAATGTGCCAGCCCAGGGACAATGTCGAGTTGCAGCCCTGCAATTGCTGGCTTGTGCTCAGGTATTTTGGTGCTTTGCGGCAAGGGTACCATCCTTGCACCCGCTCTGGTTAAATGATGAATTGGACAGCGCTCATCTTCTGTCCGTGGCCTTAAGCTAGTGGTGGAATTTCCACATCGCCATGGTGAGGGTGATGTTATTCGTAGAATGACCATAATTGGCATAGCACCAATGGAATAAAGAGATGTCCTGCTCATGTGAACATTAAGGCCTTGCTCATTTCCCATTTACAGCCCTGAACCAGTGGTGGCAATGCCACAGTTTGATGGTGGTGGCGAGACACCTGTTGTTGGCTTCCCCACAAAGTGGTACTTATTTTTATCAACCCTGAAGAGGATGATGCGCTGAGGCAACCTCTCCCCCCCCCCCTCCCATCGAAAAAGGATTTGAACTCTCGACCTTCCGACTGTGAGCCACTCGCTCGACCTGTCGAGCCCCTTGGCGGTTTGGTGCCAGACTATTTTAGTAGCGCTGAGCATCGTCACTCAGCGCAGCGGCGGCGGTGGTCGGATCCTCGCCGTCATCACCGCCGTGGGGCCTCTGGCGGCTGTTGGTTTTTCTGGCTCACGACCCGATGGGAAGAGCCGCGTGAAGGCGCGGCAAATGCGGTTCGATGTTGATGTTGCGATTGCTGACACGGTTTAAACTTTCCGCGGCGCGGACAAGGAGGAATGTTACGGAAAATAAGTTCTCTATGCTTTCAAAACCATCCGATGTTATCGCGCGGGAATTAGAAATTCCTTTCGTGCTCCCTACATTTTTGGAGTGGGTCTAGAAGAATCGCAGTTACGTGGTTTTATCTCCTGTCTGTGCGTAGTATAAATTAACATACACACATTACACGGTATAACGGAATAATACCTTGGTGTAATGGTTGCCCGTTCAACTCGATCTCCTCGTGCGGAAGTTGAAACAATGGCGGCAAGTTTCTTGAATCCCCGCCCGCCCGCCCGCCTCAGTCCACCGAGCAGTGCAAATGGCACACCACCACGACCAGCCGATCGGCAAGTCGCGCGCAGTGGGGTGAAGTGTGGGTACCGCCACTTCTTCCGAGACGCCTCTGGCCAGCGTGGAAGCGTCGACCAAAATACCCACGAGAGGGACTCTCTTGGGCTCTCTCGAGTTCTGCCAGGAGTGGCCTGAGCATGAACTTTGCACAGCCGCACCGCCGACGAGCGCGGTTGGCTACGGAGGGTGCGATAGAAGTTCAGCATGCACACGTGCATCTCGCCGTACCCTGGTCGGAAGTCAAAGTGCTGCGCTGCTCAATGGAGCGTGCGGTGGGCGCTTCTCCCTTTGTCGCCCCGAGCCAGTGGGGGAATTTCACATTGCACGTTAGGGGCAATTGTCTCCCGAGGGCAAACACTCGCGGTCGATGATAACCTCCAAATATCCCATTTCGAGTACTAAACCTGAGGTGATGTGCGACGTATATCCGCTGACATTAACCTCACCCAATGGCTCGGCTTAGTTTAAATTGTGAAGAAACATAAAAGGGCCTCACCATTTTGCAAAATATAGGACATAAATAGAACGTTATGTTCTTTTTTAGCAATTCTCACACTTGTAATAAAGACTTGCACGGAACTATCCGGTAAACGTGCGAGGCATTTACCCCCTGGCTAGGCAGATCGCGAGTAAGTGTTCCTTCTAACGACCGAACACTTTATCCATTAGGCTTCTTTAGCGCAATGAGTTTGGAGCTTGCGCATAAATCGCTTGCAGGTGGTCATAAAGCTGCAACAACATCTGGTGTTACCACGGTGAACTGCAAAGGTCAGGAGGTCGCACTATTTGAAACTTAACTGCTTCCAATTCTTTCCAAAGAGGTAATGGTTAAACCAATGTAAGTTTCTTCTTTTGAAAAAAAATCACGGCACCATGCCCCGCAAGGCGAACCTTTCTGCCGATATCGACATTTGACGTGACCCCCTCGCGAATCGCCGAGTTGGCACGCACGGCGAGAACCGCGGCCGGGTGACAGACGTGGAGCTGAGAGGAGCTCACCGCGGTGAATGCAGCGCTCGCCACCTCACTGCCTTGGCCTACACCGTGCCATTTACAGCCCTTTGGCAACCTTTACTCGGCATGAAACAGTCCGGTTGAGTGACGATCAAGCACCCACTGATTCACTCCACTCGCTCACTCATTCGCTCACTCATTCGCTCACTCGCTCATTCAGTCCTGTCCTTCGCTCATTCATTCACTGCAGTCGCTCGCTCACTGATTCACTCCACTCACTCACTCATTCACTCCACTCACTCATTCACTGCAGTCGCTCGCTCACTGATTCACTCCACTCACTCATTCAGTCCACTCGCTCGTTCACTCATTCACTGCAGTTGCTCGCTCACTGGCTGGTGGTGGTCAGTCGCGCCCTTATTTATCACTCTTCATCATCGCTGTCGTTGCTGTTCCCACGAACTTCACTCAACAGTTGCTCCACCCATGCTGCCCCCATCACCCACACTGCTGTGGCATCGCCCACACTGCTGCCCCATCACCCACACTGCTGCCACCATCACCCACACTGCTGCCCCCATCGCCCACACTGCTGCCCCATCACCCACACTGCTGCCCCATCACCCACACTCCGTCGCACCATCACCCACACTGCTGCTGCACCATCACCCACACTGCTGCCCCATCACCCACACTGCTGTGTCATCACCCACACTGCTGCCCCATCACCCACACTGCTGCGTCATCACCCACACTGCTGCCCCATCACCCACACTGCTGCCCCCATCACCCACACTGCTGCCCCCATCACCCACACTGCTGCCACCATCACCCACACTGCTGCCCCATCACCCACACTGCTGTGTCATCACCCACACTGCTGCGTCATCACCCACACTGCTGCCTCCATCACCCACACTGCTGCCCCCATCACCCACACTGCTGTGTCATCACCCACACTGCTGCCCCATCACCCACACTGCTGCGTCATCACCCACACTGCTGGGTCATCCACCCCCACACTGCTGCCACCATTCACCATCACCACTGCTGTGTCATCACCCACACTGCTGTGTCATCACCCACACTGCTGCCACCATCACCCACACTGCTGCCTCCATCACCCACACTGCTGCCCCCATCACCCACACTGCTGTGTCATCACCCACACTGCTGTGTCATCACCCACACTGCTGCCCCCATCACCCCACACTCGGTGTCATCACCCACACTGCTGCCCCCATCACCCACACTGCTGCCCCATCACCCACACTGCTGCCCCATCACCCACACTGCTGCCCCATCACCCACACTACTGCCCCATCACCCACACTGCTGCCCCATCACCCTCACTGCTGCCCCATCACCCACACTGCTGCCCCATCACCCACACTGCTGCCCCATCACCCTCACTGCTGCCCCATCACCCACACTGCTGCCCCATCACCCACACTACTGCGCCATCACCCACACTGCTGTGGCATCGCTCACACTGCTGCCCCCATCACCCACACTGCTGCCCCCATCACCCACACTGCTGCCCCCATCACCCACACTGCTGCCCCCATCACCCACACTGCTGTGTCATCACCCACACTGCTGCCCCCATCACCCACACTGCTGTGTCATCACCCACACTGCTGTGGCATCGCCCACACTGCTGCCCCATCACCCACACTGCTGCCCCCATCACCCACACTGCTGCCCCCATCACCCACACTGCTGCCCCTTCACCCACACTGCTGCCCCATCACCCACACTGCTGCCCCATCACCCACACTGCTGCCCCATCACCCACACTGCTGTGTCATCACCTGGACTGTCTTCAAGAGGTCTAAAGACTTCTCATTTCTTCTCCTTACCTCGCACTATTCGACTTTGGAATTCCCTCCCAACACATGTTTGTTTTTCCCCAAACGATTATAACAACATTGCTCAATTCAAGACCCGTGTTAACTCTGATCTATTTCGCCTTGAATGGTGGTGCTTGTTGCTAGCTGTTTAGCCATTTTGGCCATTGCCTGTTGCTCTGCAACTGTGAACAAGACAACATCTACTGCCGTGGCCCTCTCCGAGGGTGTGTAGCCACTCAACCAAACGAGAGTTTCATTTGGCGTGATCTCCAGTGCGAGGATTCGCCGTCGAGCATCTCGGCTGCCAGGGCAACGTCGTCTGCGTAGTCGAGGTGAACGAACGCCTCGGGTTCTCCTCCCAGCACTCCTTGTGAACTGTGGGATGCACGCTCCAGTACATCGGGGCAAGGGACAGCCATCCGAGTGGAATTGCCATTGAAATGGTTTACATAGGCACAGGCCATGTACTTCATTGGTGATTTCGGTCAGTAGTGGAATCGAACCCCGATAGCAGCTGGCCGTGAGCAGTGTCATAGTCATCACGAGGTCATCAACAGTGTCATAGTCATCACGAGGTCAACAACAGTGTCATAGTCATCACGAGGTCAACAACAGTGTCATAGTCATCACGAGGTCATCTTGGCTGGGCAGCGACATTGGCAGAGTTCCACATGTGACGTCAGGTCCAAATATCCTGTAGACTTTGAGGGAGGTTTGCTTCGTACCGCTTTGGTAAGGCGTTGTAAATTACTCTCTTTTGTGCATGTAAACATTGTCCCAACGACATTGATACTGCTGAAGCTAGATATGGGCTCATTCACAGTTTCGCAACGAAACACGCTGTTGTCTTACTCGCATTGGGTTTAACGTTGCACTTGGCTCAACTGAACGTGCCGCTGGTGACAACTAAAACGCATGCCAGAGCATGAGGCCGTGCTGTGAATCTACCTGCACGGGGGAGAATGTCATCGGTGCTTTAGTGCAGATTGTATCACATTGGTGTATCATGGGTGATGCAATGGATCCGACTATAATTCATTTGCACCAGCAACCGTTTGCTGAAATGTATAAAATAGCCGCAATACACGAAGCCCCGTGTATCTGTTTTGAAGCATTCCCAAGAAACAAATATATTAAAAGTTTAACATTCTATTGAGACTTTAATTTTACTTGTCGCAGTTGTATGAATGGAAACCGTGGTGATTTGGTTGTCCACTCTCTCTGTGTAACAAAATATGGTCATCATTGGGAAATGTAAATTGGTGTCTTGTTGGGGGAGGGGGATATTTTTTGAAGTGGTTTAGAAATTTACAATGCCAGCTAACTTATATAATTGGAAAGGACATTTTGTTATTTCATCCACACATGTTATAAGTTGAACATAGGAAAAAATGTGAGTGAGAAAAAGTAAAGACATGCAACATATTTGGATATGAAATCGCATCCAAGTATGTTTAAGCGAGTGTACGAGCTGCTACGTTCACAATGGGCCGCTCTGTTTTCAGCATCCACCCCGGCTTGTGCTGCCTGGGATGATTCGTCCGGATAATTGAGGCTGGGAGTGGTGGTGGGGGAGACGATGGTGCTTGTCGGTGCTCTGTCTGTGCTCCTCAGTTCAGATTATATGAGCAGTCCCTGAACAGACTCAACATAAAAAATGAAATAGTACGATTCTTACAGATGAACCGTGTGCAATTTAAAGCAATTTGGGAAAAAAAAGTGGACATTGTAATAGAGCTGCCCACGTCTTCCAATTGTAGCGTCTGTACATTGCTCTTCATCTCTGCCTGCATGTGCAACAACGATGATACTATCTCTAATAATAATAATACCTTGTTTGCCGATCTGGAAAATGATCCCCAATTCTTGAGAATATTTTCCAGGAGAGTCTTGGGATATTTGACCAATGTTCCGTGCCAGAGAACATCTCAATGCAATGGGGGTCTCACCCACAATATGAGAACATTCAAACTCGAATCGTAAACATTACACAATGCAGTACAATGCAATTTCCATTTATACAAAATCCAAATGCAATCCCGTCTGAAGACGCCATACAAAGTAGCAGTACCTGTATCAGGGGGACCTGCCAGCAAAGGGAGGTTTATCTATAAATATATATTTACATATATTTAGAGATGTGTCCGTGGTGTAATAGTTAGCACATTGGTTTGCAATGCAGAGGTCGATCTCCTGGCGCGGCAGTTGAAGCATTGGGCGCAAGTTTCTTGAATCCCCTTCCACCTCTAGCCACCGCAGTGCACATGGCTACACCGCGGTGATTCGAAAGGCGAGTTGCATGTGGTGGGGCAAAGCGTGGGTACTGTCATCTCTTCTGGCGAACGTGGAAGGGCAGGCAAATATTCTTAGGTTTTTTCGGTAAAGTCACGTAGGTAAAACATCAAAATTAATAAAAATAAAATAAAACAAAAATCACCGTGATTTTTGTTTTATTTTATTTTTATTAATTTTGATGTTTTACCTACGTGACTTTACCGAAAAAACCTAAGAATATGAATCCTTGCAGTCACGAAAGCTTCACATCTAGAATGGGCAGGCAAATGTTGTGTCTAGAGGAGCTCTCGGGAGCCATGTCTGCAGTAGTGGGGTGAGAGCAATACATCGCAGGCCTGCACCTTTGTCTTTTACCATTTTTAAAATTCCATTTACTTCGAAGTGCCGACTGCGTGGAGGCAGCTTGCACACATCTTTGCATGATCCACCAACCCCCTGCTGAAGTTCTCAGTGAGGCATCTTATGATTTGGCGACTGCAGTTGCTTGTCATGAAGTAGCTGTGATGAATTAGAGTCTTGGCATTACAATAATAGAAAACATGGCATTACCTCGATGGAAAACAATCACGAAACGGCAAAGGTAATGTAAAAACAATGCCAAGCCAGATTTGAAGTTTTCGTGACTGCAGGGGGATCCATACTCGCTGGTTGTTTCTGTGAAGTCACGTAGGTGGGAAAAAAAGCAACCGTGTTTATTTATTTATTTTTATTCTATTTTTTCACCTACGTGACTTTACCGAAAGAACCAAAGAGTATAATGCCAAGCCTTTACCTCTGTCAGCATGTTCTTATGAAATTGTAAAAATCTGCTTGCCCGATTGCTTCATCAGCAGTAAAATCTGACGAAGCTGCAGACACTGCGGATCCATCGCTCACCTCTCTGCCGTTGAGTGCCTCTAACGCAATAACAACAGAGACGACCAAATACTTATCTCGCATTTTAAACTTCCACAAAGGGAAACAAATGCTATTAACATTTAATCACGTGCAATAGATACATTACTACATGAAGCTGATTTTGTGGCGTTAATAGTCCACGTGATGTATAAAACCTTGGCCGCTGATCGTAGCAAAGGAATCGATTTTCAGCGAAACCTTTAAACATTTGTACGCCTGCGTTCGGACGATTGCGTTTCAAGTTGTGCAAAGGCGCTGACACAACGACGAGAAAAAGAACCCACAGCCAGACGTCCTCCCCCCTTCGCAGTGACTCGCACATCCACTCGGCAGTTGCGTCATGACGTCTCGCACGCACACAGACGCCTGGCACGGACAGCCAATGCAGCCAACATTTAGAATTTGAGCTCCCTTATCCATCTCTAACCCATAGTCATGCGTTGAATTAAGGTGCTTTAGACGAGCTCAGATTGACCAAATGGCTTTTGTAACATGCTTTCGTTTTTAGGATACAATATTTGTCCCGCACTCCTCTTGATCATGGTAATAATCAGGGATATAATCTCCCACTTGATATTTTAGCGGAATGCTGTTGGGTCTGCTTGCAGTAGGGATTATCGGCATCAGGCCGCTATCGCCATGAGTGTACGAGGTATGCCTATCCGTAATATTCCTGTCAATGTACTCGATGTCCCTGTAATCCTAGTGAGGACACACCGAGTATCGTGTGAGCAAATAAGGTGAGATGGGTACCGTGTGCCATGTTAATTCCTCGTCTGATCAGGCTGAAATTCAATCACTGGTAATCAGAATAATAATAATGATGGGAACAATGTTTTTTGCGATGCTTTCCCTTAAAAGGCGTGACTTGTTTTGAGTGAATCGCAGCTTCCACTGATTGTTACTTCTCGGCTGCCACCATGAACACACGGGGATTGTGTTTTGCCATCCAGTGCTCTAGATAGCTGGAGGGGATATTACAATAATCTTGAGAGCAAAGCAAGGGGCTGGATTAGGCAGTCATTTATTTGTGTGACTCATCACCATCATCATCCATCCCTTGTTTATCCACTGCTGGATGAAGGCTTCTCCCACGCCGTCGCCATCCTTCACATTCATTCGATGTCACGAGTCGTCATCTCCCTCCTGCACGGATCTCGTCGGCGGAGTCCGGACAAATGTTTAAAACCATTCAATAACGAGGCGTGTATCGTTTGCTCCAACATAGATCAGAAAGCCTCGCACGTAGAATTAATACTCGCACGTAGATGTCATACTCACACGTAGATGTCATACTCACACGTAGATGTCATACTCACACGTAGATTTAATACTCACACGTAGATTCAATACTCGCACGTAGATTTAATACAGCTAATAAGAGGCATCAATTGATTTGGATTTGGGTGAGGCGATGTAATGATCTGGCCAGGTTTAAGTCATAAGCCCTCCACCCCTGACATAGCCAAAGAGATTAAAATGCTTGTTTAACGCGTAGTAGGCTTTCCTGACCAATATCATCTATAATACAGGTTTTTTTGGGTTGGATCGTGTAAATATAAATGTGTTGTTAACCCAAATCTGGCTGTCTGCCTGATGATGCTAGCCGTGTTTACTCGGATGGTAAATGTTGTGGATTTACTCTCCAGCACACCGTCGTGCTGTACTAGTAACGAATTTGCTCGTTCTGTTTACGTGACAAACATTACTAATTGGCTGTGTCGGGTGGTTGTGGGTTTAACGACACATTCATATTTACGCGATCTAACCCAAAAAAACTTGCGTTATGGAAAATAAAAATGTTACTTGCTGAAGTGTTTTTCTGCACCAATCATTATTGCTTCAGCTCACCAGTAGTACGTTGGTATCGGAGATGTGGAAGAGTCAATGTATTGTTGCATCGCAGAGCCACGAGAGATGGCAGTGGCTGAGAGAGGCCATCGTCCACCACTGATAGATGATGGCTGATCATGAAGATAATAATGGCCGTACTGAATTAGCGGAATTCCACCAAATAATTTATCGTCGTGTATTTGGGTTGTGCCGCGTGTTGTCCGGCACGATGTCTGACGTTTCGCTCCGCGCGCTGGGAGCTTCTCTCTGTCCAATTCCCGAAGAAGCTTGGCAGGCGTGAAGCAAAACGTCGAACATCGCACGGTACGAGCCAAAAATAAATTGGAGAAATAACATAGTTATTAATTTAGCTGGCGCGCGCTGGCTCAAGCTGAAGTCCGTTGTTGTTAGCGAGATGTTAATTTCCTGTCATTTATTTATATTTGTATCCCCATGGGCGGATGTCGCAAGAGATCACGTGTAGTCGTAATTGATTGTGTCTCTCGCTGGCAGAATGTGGCGGCTGCCCTCAGTGCCGGTGTGAACCCCTCGGGTAACGCCACGAGCCAGAACAGCCACTGGGACCTGGGGAGTGCCTTCTTCTTCGCCGGCACAGTCATCACCACCATTGGTACGAACACGCGCACGCACGCACGCCTAACGAACACGCATGCGCGTAACGAACACACGCGCACATGTACGCACGCACCACTCGCTCGCACCAGCAGCCCAGCTGCTTTGCGTGCCGTGGGCATGAGGACGCCCCAAACACTGCAGTAGACATGGCCACGAAGTGTTTAATATGCCGAAGAGACACACATGGACATTGACAAATATATATTTTTTTCCCTTCAGCAAAGTGACATCATTGCGGATTATGCCGATGACGAAACCTGTAAATACACAGTTGCACGCAAACAGCAGGCTCAGCACCGAGTCGGTAGCCAGTAGTTGCACAGAGTTCATTTCATTCTCGTGCAGCAGAACTGCTTTCATCCGCGATGACGTGGAGGAAGGGAGGCTGCACTTCACAGATCCTATCCGTAATGTTACCAATAATTCAACGTGAGCCATTCCCTTAAAGGTCACCCAGAACTTGACACACGCACACAAACACACGCACACACAAACACACGCACACGCACGCGCTCTAATTATGACCGTGAGCGTGGACCGAAACGCAAGCACTCGCGCACACACGTATGGACAGACGCCCACACGCACGCAGAGATAAAGATCCCCGTACAGCCATGCGGACTGTTGGGGCAAGTGCTGGGGAGTGAGCCCCTATTAAGGCCGGGGCATGAGGGTTGGTATAGCCGGCACCACGCCTGTTCACCGCGCTGGTGAGTGAGCACCTATTAAGGCCGGGGCATGAGGCTTGGTGTTGCCAGCACCACGCCTGTTCACTTTGTGTCTCCCCAGTGCTGAAGTTGTGCAAACTGGGCAGGGGAGACTCATGACAGGCTCTGTTACCACTTTCCATGGTTTGGGAACAATATCCTTGTAGTCGGGTCCGTAGGCAATGCAGTAACTGCTGTGCCACTTTTCCCCACACATGAACTCGCAGACAAAGATTCCCCGTATAGCCTTAACAGACTGTTGGGGCAAGTGCTGTTAGTGAGCACCTATGAAGGCCGGCACAGCACACGAGGGGATGAGTGGCCAGCACCACGCCTGACCGCCTTTGTCTCCCTAGTGGCAATGTTTAGTCACCGCACCAGGTACTCATTTGAGGCTGAGTCGATCTAGCGGAGGCCCAGAACCAATTCAGATAATTGTCACTGGCAGTGGCATGAGCAAAAAACAAACTCGGGTTGCTGGGTTCGTAGCACAGCGCGCTGACCACGATATTACCCCTCCCGCCCCATGTGCACACACATTCACACAGTACAATCATCAAACCGTCGGTGTGAATAAACCCATTTAATAAACTTTGTTGAGATGGTATCACTGATATCCAGTATCTATTCAAATATATCTTATTCCATCTAATTTGCATTTAAGAATCGTGACAGACGAACTCTGTTATCATCAGAACCAATGGTGCGAATCATCACGCGTGCATTGCAAATACCCAGAGGCACCCACACGCCATACCACCTCGCACACACAACACAGATACGCACCGTCTCGTCGGCCATCGTCAACCCACGGAGGCCTTGTCAAGCCCTCACCGTCCACCTAGCGGACGTCCTCCTCTGGGATTGCGTGCCATTATACAGCACAACAAGAATACGTCAACGTGACTTTCTGCTCAAATGAGTGTTGGGGCGGTGCTCTGAGCCGGTGGTTATAGCGGGGATGAGTCTACTCGCATGACACCCGCTGCTTGGCTTCCCAACACATTTTTATTGACATCGGAGGGATGGTGGTCCGAGACAACCCCAAGACGGGATTCTAACGCCGAACCTTCCGACATGGAGCTGCTCGCTGTACCGCCCAGCCACGGCCAGATTGCATCACGTGGGCCGCTGATGCTCTCTTGTTTTCCGTGCAGCTTGGCCAGACGGAGCGCAGCGCGGCACGCTGGTGCATAAACGCACTCTGCACATAAAACGGCATTAGCGTGTTTGCGTACACAGCGGTCGTGCGTACACACACGTGCACGGTGCCGTGCCATTACTGACGCTCCTCTCAGAGCGCTGTTGTGGACCGCATCGGAGACCACGGAACCCCGAGTATAAAACCACAAAACAAAGCGCAGTGTCTCTTAAAAACCTTTCTGCGGCCACCTACATACACTGATTTACCACTTATTGGTACTCTACACACAAAGACAAGGACACGAGCATTCGCAATAAGCCACTCGGTATACACGCAACGCACGATAGACTCGCTGCAATGAAGTGTGCTGGTTTCTCTGTTTGTTTTATGTGCTCTTAAACGAGATGCACTTTCCAGCACAAAGCATCGTCTCCGATTGTCGCATTTGCTCACGAGGAGAGGACGCCACGTGCATGCCGGCGATCGTTCGCGCGACGGTGTTGCCCGTAACGCACCCCCTGCGCAAGCCAGAAGCATGCTAATGGGGGTGTCGTCAGCACACAACCTACTGGCGATGTGCGCTTTCTGAAGTGCTTCTGTGGCCGTCTGGAATGCTCTTCGGATATTAGGAAGCCACCGGAGCTCTGCACTTTTAGATCGTCTCGATTGAAAACTCTTTTTTTCGTGTGTTTAGTTTGTTGTTCTTCCCCCGCACCTCTGATTAGCAGCATGGTTGTCTACGTACGGTGCGAAAGAAGTTCGACATACATACATTATGATTAGGGGCTGCTTCGTGCTTGACACATGTAAGCAACATAGAGAAAACGTCTCCAAAGATTCTGGCTTTTAGACGATTATTGAGACTTTGTCTTTAACTGCTACTCCTGGTATGACATTAATGTCATTACTCTGCTTGTTTACCTAGGAAAGCCTCACCGAGTCTCGTGACTCTTTTCAGGAGGGACCCATCACGTTTCCCCAGTAGCAGGGGGGAGGGCGGGGGGGGGCAGCGGGGGGGGTCTTCGAGGGCGGTGGCAGGGGACGGGGGGTTTCAGGGGAGGGGGCGACGATTGGTGCGTGCATTCCAATCGAGTTACCTTGCAGGTAATTTGTACATTTTTTGTGGCAGATTTAGACCGTGACGCGGCCCCACAGCGCCCTCCTCTCGAGAAAGACGTCACAGGATCTTTAACGTCCACTGTGGAGCAGATAGCACGTCATGTTACGGGTCATCCATTCCGCATTGTTAATCTGGGCAGCCACTGGATGTGAACACTGAACCTCTGCAGCAAGCGGTGAACAGGTGCCCGCCGAGCCGTGCCAGCGCGGTGGCTCTGTGTGCGTGGGAAGCCCGCAGGGCACCACAGGGCACCAGCAGGGCACCGCAGGCCGAGCATGGGAGAGTAGTCCCACTGTGGTGTACAACAGCCTGGGCACTTTATTTACAGTTTAAATGTCTTGCACGGAATTGAACATCATTTGTCTGTTTCTAGAACCCAATTTGCAATCCACAGAGAGAAATCACCAGTGTCTAATATAATCTCTGCTGGTGTGTAATATATGGCCCTTTCTAGTTGAAAGAAATTTCCAAACTTGGACAATAGGATTTATTTTTAGCCAACTGAAAATTATTAGAAGTTTCTGGACTTAGATTTATGCAGCTGCCTTGGGTTCTCTGCTATGAAGGCATTTGTATTTGAAAACCATAATAACTTAGAAGATGCCACGTGGCTTATTTTGCAAAGGGACTCTGCTTCTGAGAACAATGCCAGTCTGAAGCACTTATGTCTGGTGTGAGAAACTCCCAAGTCCACAATGCAAACGCTTAATATAATTGGATAAAATGGGCTTTCACGTTTCCAATTAAATCCAAACAGTGAAGAGTGGTGTTTATTATGTTTTTTACAAAATCAGTGATGGAAATATAAATAAATTTAGAGTTTTTTGTTTTGTTTTATCTTGTCAACGATGACTTTGACTTGATGAAAATTGTCAGTCTTGCTGGTGACTATGACCGCCCACCAAAGGCCTAAGACTGACTGACTCTGAGACAAATCAATGAGTCTTAACAAAGACCCAGATTAAATCATTTTAAATTAAACACTTCATAACTAAGAGTGGAATAAATGTTTGACTGGGATCGTCAATTAGACGAAGAGAATGACTGAAACATACCTCGACAGACAAAGACTGGACAAACATTGCATTGGTTGTCATCAGCTGGACTCGTGCTATGAGTAAATGGAATTTTAAAAAATTCTGGCTAAATTTACGGCAGTGAAAGCCGAACTAATGAGTGCCAGGGTCAATGACAACGCAACACAACACTCGCAACACAATAATCGCAACACAACACACCGCTGTTCCTCCCGTCCATACAAACGATCCTAGCGTCCATCTGTGCCCTGAGGTTAGACGCACGTCCGCCTCTCACCCGCTGCTGAGCAGCACCAAGCTGTACCCTGCTGCAGGTCGAGGTGCCACTCCACTGGCCTTCAGGGTCCACGGGTATCAGATGTTTCCTGAAAATCACGCGGCGCTCGCTGCATTTGTGCGGTCGCAGCAGCGCTTCATCTCGGTATTTGAATCGGGGACCCACTGATCCCTTTGTGCAGCGAGACCGCAAAGGCGAATTAATGGTCACGGCAGAGTGGACGTGGGGGTCTTGTTGCTGCAGTCAATCAGAAAAGCTAATGGAGAGCTTACAAGTGAAATGCGTTCGTTTAGTAAGGGTCACGTGCTCGCGCGATCGGTCTCTTAGAGTATACGTTATTGCATTTTATATTTCCAATGAATATGGTTTCTAGAATATATATTACTGTATTGCTTTGCTTCTTTCTTGGATGTAGTGGTGGCGCAGTGATTAGTGTGTTATACCATGAACCTAGCCACCTGTGTTCGATTCCGGGCTGCTGCTAACATCAGCGGCGAGTTCTCTAAACTGGTCCTGGGCCCACTCTTCACCAATCCGCACTGACCAGTGTGGTGAAGTATAGTCAAACCACCACCGAGACCGTCATGTCACAGGCAGGCCTTCATCCAACAGCGAATTTACAACAGGCCCTAAATTATGACAGTTTTGTTAATTATTTACACATACAAACCTTCGTTTGTGTCACGACTTCCTCAAGTGAGTCCAGGATG